TTGGCATGATACAATTGTGATGAGGCATTTTATTAAAATACATATTTGCCCTCATTCTTTTACCCTTCTCCATCTTGGGAAAGAAAGAAAGAAAAAAGAAATTAATTAAAAGGGGTCATATTGGGAAAAGTGACCCACAAAATGGAGTAATGTAGATTACCTCCCTCCCACCCAAGTAATTGACATTGACCCAAAATGACAAAATGAAGCAATTTCAATTGCCTCATGTTCAATTGCCTCATTCTTACTTTTTGCAGCCAAATGGGATAATTTGGTTCAATTGTCTCATTTTGAGTCAATTGGGGCACATTGACTCATCACTTTAATCCATCCAAACGACCCCCAAGTATTTTTTTTAGTCTCGTACATTATGACAATTGCATTGCAAGTCATTTTGACATATTTATTTCAATAAAAATATTTCAATCCTTTCAAAATTTATAGTTGAATCAATACTTTAGTCTATAAGTATGCTATCACTTAGAAATAAATTTGCTAATAATTTGCAAAGAAAACAATGTGCTAGTATTAAATTAATAACTAAAAATGAGTAAGTAACCCGATTGATTGATTCGAACAACCAAGAAAACAATGTGCTAGTATTAAATTAATAACTAAAAATAAGTAAGTAACCCGATTGATTGATTCGAACAACCGCAATCCAACTAACCTGCAACGATTTTGACTCATAATCTGATTGACGCACACACTCACTGTAACTTGCAGCTTTATTGACCCATAAGCCATAATCCAATTAAAAACCGTAACCCAACTAATTCATAAATCTATTGAACCAAGCCTTTTCCTTTTGAACGGTTAATGAATCAAACCAATTGTAATAAGAACCGAACTGGATTAACGGCTGGGCCAGTAGAGTCATCAAACCAGTTACGAAAGCGGTCCTGTTCATTGTTTGGACGATTATTGATGGACCAAACGATTTTTCACGGTTCAACATAAAATCAGATGAACCATCGCAGTTTAAATGGTTCACTAGTTTAACGAAAAAAATACTTCAATATAAATTAACACCATCAAACAATAATTATTAAATTTAGACATGCTTCTTCTTCTTCTTCATCTCATATTTCAACCTTGTTGTCGACTTTACATTGTTCACTATCGACTAAGACTGTAATTTTTAATTTGAAATAAAAAAATTATGATTTCTTTTGTGAGACGGTTCAAATGATTTATTAGATATTTTGGTGATGAGATGAATTTGAAATTGTTTATGGTCAATGATAAATTCATTCTTAAATTAATGTAATATGCAAGTATTACATGTATCATGAACGATTCTATCAATGATTCACCAACTATCTTATAACGGTTAACTACTGAACTCTAAACCACCAATTTTTTCGGTTCAGTTTTAGGTCCGATTCTGAAAACTGAGACCTAACCTCAATCCGCGCGATTGACACACTTCTACTCGTGAGTAGGGGTGTTCAAATGGTTACCATGGTAATAACCAAACCAAATCAGTCTAAATTATATTAATCATGGAATACAATATCATAACCAAACCGTCCAAACGAATACAACAACCAAATTAACCAAACTAAAGTTTATTCGGTTTGGTTAATTGGTTAACCAAAATAACCAATATAACACCACATTATCATTAAGTGAGAAAAATTTTCAGTTAGTGCATCAATTCGCAATTTATATAATGAACAACCCATAACAATCCACATAATTGTAGTTAACCCTTAGCGTAAATACATGTAAAAAATATATATTAGAATTTTGAGTGGTTATGCAAAGTATTAAGTATGTGTATACAATATATATTAGATATATGACAAATTACTTAACTGGTTAATTTGGTTTGATTGGTTAGGAGTGTCTGAAACCAAACCAAACCACCTAAACCAAACAAGCTAAATTTTTTAACCAAACCAATTATCAAAATTAACCAAACCAAATTAGCCAAATACTACTGGTTAAAATGGTTACCACGGTAACCACACCGTTTGAACACCCCTACTCGTGAGTATAGGTGTCAATCGGGCGGGTTCGGGTTCAAATGGGTTGCGGGTTAGTCGGGTTGCGGGTTCATCGGGTTCATCGGGTTCTGGTTCAAATGGGTTGCAGGTTAGTCGGGTTGCGGGTTCATCGGGTTCGGATTCAATCGGGTTGCGGGCAAATCGGGTTGCGGGCAAATCGGGTTTTGGGTCGGGCGGGTTGGGGCGGATCGGGTTTCGGGTTGTTCGGGACAGCGCATAAAGTAACTTAACTCATTAGTCATTACCAACTTACACATTTTATTACACTAATTTAAAATATTTTCTCAACTTTTTAACCAATTTATTTCTACCTCGTATATATATATACTTTTTTTTTTGAAAAAAACTAGTCAAAATGTTAAATCAATTTGTATGACTTGCAAACTTGTTATGTAATTAATCATAATTGGTAAAGTATTATAGCTAATAGTAATGGTGAAATCAATATTTGCAACCAAAAGAAACTGTTAATTGTTTATTTGATATTTTAGTATTAATTCAGTAGTAATTAGATTAAAGTATCTCGTTTAGTATAACCATGCAAATCTAGTATTTGGCGTGTGGTATTTGGCAAAAGCATAGTGATAAAAGGAGTTATTTCAAAATAACTCATTGCCCAAATAACTTTAGTAATCTGTTGCCAAACGAGTTATTTGTAAAATTGTTCGAATTATCCTAAAAATTGAACCATTAAAGATTAGCTATCAAATTTAGTAAAATTATTGTGACTTCAATCATAATTTACTCAATAGCATATATCCTATACACTTAGCTTTACCCTCAATCAACAATATTAAGTTAGTATATGTTGTTGTTGTATACCCTAAACCATCAATACATTATACACTAACCACATAACCTATACCCTAATCATATGTCCTTGAGTTGTGATTTTGCTACTATAGTTAATTTAAAAGTGAAATTCATACTTTGATTTTCAAAACATAGATAAAAAGTGATATTTGCTAATTTTTATACCCTAACCATATATCCTATACTTTACACCATATACCTTGTACCCTAACCACGTATCATAAACATAAATTAAAAAGGGATCTCCTGCCGTTAAATACTTCAAATGACTTCAAGTGAACATATGTTAATAAAAAACTTAGAACCGTCAAAACCATCAATATCTTATACGCTAACCATATACAGCCTAAACCATATGTACCTTATACCATAACCATATACTTTATATCCTAAACAACGAACCGTCAAAGATTACTTATCAAGTTTAGTATAAATTGTTGTAACTAATAGTTAATTTATTTATTAGCCCATAAAAAATTACATACATATATACATATTAGCCTTCAAAGCATATAAGAATAATTTTAACTAGTCATGCCCTCCATATAAAAGTTAAAGATTCATATTTAAAAAGCTAAAATTATGAATAACTAAAAAATTGAAAACACCAAATTTGTTTCCTTCTTTCTTTTCACAAAAATACTAAAATTTCCCTTCTTCTTTCTCCTTCCATACATTAGAAAAACTCAATTTTCCCTCCTCTTTCTCTTCCATAAAATTGAAAAAACCAAATTACCCTCTTCTTTCCTTCTACAAAAAGTTGAAAAGTCAAAAGTTTCCCTCCTTATTTCTCTTTCATAATCAAAATTTCCCACTTCTTTCTCTTCCCACATATCAAAACCACAAAAATTCTTTCTTTTCACAAAAATACTAAAATTTCCCTCCTTCTTTCTCCTTCCGTACATTAGAAAAACTCAATTTTCCCTCCTCTTTCTCTTCCATAAAATTGAAAGAACCAAATTACCCTCTTCTTTCTTCTTTCCTTCTACAAAAAGTTGAAAAGTCAAAAGTTTCCCTCCTTATTTCTCTTTCATAATCAAAATTTCCCACTTCTTTCTCTTCCCACATATCAAAACCACAAAAATTCTCACTTGTTTCTTTTCTAAAAAACTTAAAGAACCAAATTTCCCTTTTCTTTCTCTTCCCAAAAACTTGAATACACCAAAATTTCCCTCTTCTTTTAAAAACATCAAATTACCAAATACATTACTTACTTTATTATATTTAATTGATAATTTTATTGAATAGTTAAATGAACCAAAATTTTAATTTATATATTATATTAATATTGTCATGACTCAAGTGACCTTCATGTTTCAATTTTTGTAATTTTCTTAAAATACGTAATATCAAGTGAGTTTCATATTTTTAAAATTTCTTATACGAAATGAAAAAAATAATTTTACTTAAGTTTAGAATGAAAAACTTTATTTTGAAAAACTATGTATTGTATATTTTTATAATTATTCAAGTGAATTAGATGAAATTCGGGTTGAGTCGGTCGGGTTACGGGTTAGTCGGGTTCGGGTCAATCGGGTTCGGGTTAATCGGGTTGCGGGTCAGTCAGGTTGCGGGTTAATCGGGTTCGGGTTAATCGGGTTGCGGGCTAGTCGGATTGCGGGTTAGTTGGGTTGCGGGTCGATCGGGTTACGGGTTGTTGACTTTTAGTCAATTCGAGTTGCGGTTCGAGTTGATCGAACGGGTTAATCGGATCAAGCTATGTTTTGACACCTATACTTGTGAGCCTCTCAATCAAACTCCGAAGACAACCAAAGAAACTGGGAATAATTGGGCCCCCACACCCACTGGGCTTATTGATGATAAGGGACCCATTTTGGCATTTCTCATGAATTTCATTGAAGTCAACAAAACTAACAGCAGGTGGATAGTGGACCCCTTTTTTTCTGTACATAGCCGTTATGCCACCCATTCATTCCGAATTTCGAAACTAAGAAGAAAAAAAATCATTCTTATGAACGTTAAACTGATTATTCAGCATCACTTAATTAAATGTTTTTTGATTTAATTCTTTCTCTAATCTGTTAACTTCCTTACAGAACGTAAATTGAGATGAAATGAAAAGGGATAAAATATAAAAGAAAAAGAAAATAGAGAATCCGACCGTTGGGCTCTTCTCACCCCGCTTCTCACTTCAAACCAAAACCGAAACCAACTCTGCATTTCGTCTTCCCTACCACACTATCTACTTCACCTGCATCTTCCGTTCGCGCTCCACAATCCACTGAAACGATGGCTTCCGATTCCGCGCTCCACGAAGCAGACAGAGCGGTGGACGGCGCACTTGGGTACCCGAAATCATACGCCAAATGTTGCAGAGATGGCGGCGTCGGCATTTTCAACCAGGGCCCTCCTCTTACCTTCACTCCCTACTACCCAATTCACCACCACCAGGTACGACTTTGTAGTTCATTCTCTTTACACCCCTCTCAGATGAAGCTCACTTCAATGGCGGAATGACCAAATAACTGGCCTTCCTTTTTACTCACTCTGTTTCTGCGATTTCCCTTTTTCGTTAGATTGAAAGAGCAAGAGATTTGGAACAAATGTTTCCAGTTGTCGATCCGAAGGCTAAAGCTACAGCGAAGCCTAAAATCTTTGTCAGCTTGCTGTGGAAGCAGCTCAATCATCTTGGGTACATGTCAACCATCAAAATTCAAAACCCTCCTTCATCCAATTCCCCCCCAAATTGTTTCGAATTTCTAATTGACAAAGTAAACTCCTTTTTTTCTCAGGAACGCTGGATTTGATCCGGAGACAATCCGAGTCGACCAGTATGGAAATGTTCTGTATTTCCATGCCGACAAGGCTTCTCCTCTCTATTGGGACATCGACCACTGGTTTCCTTGCTCAAGTACAATAACGGATGCTCTGTTTTTCCCCTGCTTTTACAAACGCTCTGTTTTTTTCCCCTTTTCTGCTTAAGTAAATGGATGCTCTGTTTTATCAGGAGGAGGACTGACAGTTCCGAGCAATCTGAGGATCCTGCAATGGCAAGTGTGCAGAAGGAAGCATAACAAGCTCGAATTTCAAGTTCCCTGGTGGGATCTGCAGTTAGGAATCTCTGTAAACCAGTTCTTATCCATCTTCGCGTCCTCCAATTCAGATTTTAAGAAGAGAGGGTTTTCGTTTCTGTTCCTCGAAGGCGAGAATGAAGAGCTGAACTCCTCACAAACTGTTGATTCACATTCCTTCCCGCACCATTTCTCCGAATCCAAGCACGAGCTTGGCCTTGCTCCGGCTGCCATCGTCGTCACTAGAAGAAGAGGAGAGACACAGGATATGGTGTTGAAGTCTTTAGACCATAACAAACAGATTAGACCGTATTCTCCCATAGTTGGTAAGTTGAAGCCACGAATGAATGTGAAATATGGTGGTTATTTCTATTTATCACTTGTCTAAGCTCAATAATTTGGTTGCTTTAATTTGCAGCTTCAAAGAAGGGAGGTGGGCTGAAAGAGAACGATGACCCTGAATTTGCTCTGAATCCATACCAAGCGATAGTGAAGGCAAGAGATTCCCTGAAGCAGAGAGAAGAGGCTCAGAAGCTAGAGGCAGAGATACGAAACTTGGATGGTGAAGTTGATGAGTTAATGAGAGGGAATGAGACTGAAAAGCTTTTGATTCAAGACCTGGAATTGGAATTGACTAAGCGTAGGAGAAGGGCAGAGAAGTGCAGGCGGCTAGCGGAGGCACAATCTTCTTACAGGACAATGCTAGAGAAGATGATCAGAGATGCTATGCACCAGTAAGAACTAAGAAAGAAAAACTTACATCCTTTACATTGGAACTCCTTTAAGTTTCTAATATTTCGGTTTTGGTGACAGGAGTGTGGTGTACAAGGAACAAGTGAGGCTGAATCAAGCAGCGACGAGTGCTTTAATGGCAAGGTTAGAGGCGCAGAAGGCGATCTGTGATGCATCCGAAAAGGAGCTTCACAAGAAGTTCAGGCAAAGGGATGAGCTTGAGAAGGAGATAAGGCATGGATGGGAGGAAGACCAACAAGCCAGGAAGAGATTGAGAGTAGATGATGTTGATGATGAAGAAGAACAAGAGGTTGATGATTTTGTTCATAGCAAAGCTATTGGTTATGTAGAGGATAAGGTAAAAGAAGAAGTTGATGATGAGCATGACAGGTTAGTTTCTGAGTTGGAGAGCCAAGTGTTAATTGAGGAGAAGCTTCAAGCTCTCGAGATCGACGAGGAGGAAAAGAAGCAGCCCAAGGAAGAGGAGGAGAAGGTGGCTACTAAGTTGCCGATGATTCGAGGAAAAGAAAGGGAGGATGTCGAAGTTGAAGAAGATTCGGAAAGGAAGAACCAAAGGGGGAAGGGAAATGTAGACAAGTGGCTGCAATTGCTGCTGGAGGGCAGCGCTTTCGTTGAAGAAGACTTTGAACCAGAAAAAGCTGCACCTCCACCACCCTACAGGAGAAGCAGCATCAGTACAACTGAAGACATAATCACAAAACTGAACGACAAGTTCCCACAGAGAGAGCCAAAACAGCATCGCCATGGAGAAGCAGGTGAGAAACTGATTGTTGCAAGGAATGAGAACTTTGACAAGGGAAAGCAGGAGAAGAAAAAAGGACTCGTAAGATCTGAGAGCGCCAAGACATTGAGAAGGATCCCATCATCTCCATCGTTGTTGATATCGAGTGTGAGAAAAGGTGTTGAATCCATGCTGAAGAAGAAGAAATCAATACGGTGAGGCAAGTTGGTGATGAAAATGTGGGAGAGAAAGGCTTCTTTTCTTGCTTTCGTGGATGGCAGAAGTCTAATGGTGTATTAGTTGCTTACTGGCATTTGTGTGTGTGCTTATCTATAGTTAATTCTTTCTGATTCTTTAGTAAGCTTTCTATAAGGGGTAGACTGAATAATCGGCGTGTCTGTGTATGTTCGTGTTCTTGAGTGAGTGCTTTGTTGTACTGCTGAAATTGATAACAGCTTGTTGTGTGATACTTTGTTTGAGAGAGACCACTAAAACATTGTAATATATATAATATCTGTTTTAATCTCCCATTGTTTAGGCTTTACTAGGAGAGCAAGAAAGTTACAGCTTATCAGTTCAATTGTAACAATGTTCATATTGAATATAGCCTTCCTCTGTGGTGTTGTTCCCTCACAGGATGATGTATGGTCTCTGAAGGAATAGTATGCAGCTTATAGCATGGATTGACATCTATCACGCTCGGTCCTTACATGGCATCTTGTTATGTCCTTGAGGCTAGTACAGCCAGCAAGCGCCATAGTGAGCGCCAACTCGTCCTTCAGCATCTGAATCACTTGCTTCACCCCTTGTTCTCCCTTTGCAGCCAACCCGTATAAGATCGGTCTTCCAACCTACACCACACGGAACATGAGCAAAAGCTGAAGATATATGGCTGGTAGGATCGAAACCTGACCCGACCAACTTTGACATGAATGCAGTTGTAGGAAGCTTACGAGGACTGCTTGTGCACCCAATGCCAATGCTCTGAACATATCGGTTCCTCTCCTCACTCCTCCATCCACTATCACTGGAATCTTGCCTTTCACAGCATGAACCACCTGCATTTCGACAACCCACAGGATCATGGTTACAGTCCATCACTAGGAAAACGGAAAACCTTACTTAGTAATCAATGGATCAAGCCTAACACCTCTTCAACGACAGTGATAGTGGCAGGACTGTAGTCTAACTGACGACCTCCATGATTTGAGACAATAACCCCTGCAGCACCTACTTCAACAGCTATTCGTGCTGCCAATGAGAGTTCATCAAGCATGTAGTAAAACAAGATGTTGCAGTCATCATCCTAAAAAACTCTCGAGTATTTGAACTTGTTACCATCTTCATGAGTGAGTATTCCCTTGAGCACAATTGGCAACTTTGTGATGGACTTCAGCCACGCCACATCCTGCCCATTTATGTGTGAAACTTCTGTTGTGTAGGAAAACAAAGAAAAAAAGAAAGGTAAAAATTTGCTAATTGTCCTCTACTGTTTTGGCCACCTTCCAACTCAAAGAAGGATCCAAGGTAGAATTCACATATGCTTCCAAGTTTGAGCCACCATCCTGCAGAAGCAGCATTCATCATGATCCTAGAATGCCCAAAAAACAATCAATCGGCAGGATAGATAAATAAGTTCATCATTCTCACTTACAGCGTCAACCTCAGTCGATACCAAGCCTTCGACATTCTTCTGCTTTGAGACAATCATTCTGCACAAGTTACACCCTTTTGACATGTGTAGTAACCTGCAAACTCTTTTGCTAATGAAATGGAATTGAATATCCCCAACCGAAAAGAACACCGCTAATGAAATAAGACGAGAACCTATTCTTAATGTCTGCCTCCCTACGACCCATTCTTGGACAGTCTACTGTCAACACTATAGCCTTATATCCACTCCTTTCAGCTCTCTCCACCAAGTTGGCCGCTACATGCCGTTGTTTGTACACCTAAATCAAGTAACATAGCACCTAATGTTAGAAACAAGAAATCCCAATTGGGAATTTAGGGATTGGGAATTTAGGGATTGAGAAGAGAAGAATTTAGGGATTTGGAAGATTGGGGAAGAACGAGAGAGAGAGAGAGAAGAGAGATTAGGGATTGGGGTTTTCTGATTATTATTGCTTAATTCCAAAAAGGGTTATAGGTATAATATGCCCCTCTACTATGACGTTTTATCAAACATGCCCCTTTACTATTTTTTATATCAAACATGCCCTTGTACTTTGTAAAAATAATCAAACATGCTCTTTTGTTAAAATATTATTCCAAAAATCGTTAACCAACGCCGAACTTTAGTTTGGACGACACAAATGACTAAAATATCCCTAATAAATTCACTTTAGAATCTTTTTGGTTCTTTTGTATAATCAAATCATTCAAATAATTTCACTTTGAAAAGACCAAAGGAAATAAAACAGGGGACAAAACTGACATTTTCCCTCCCATTTTTCGATGTCGCGTCGTCTAAATCTCAATTCAACCATGATTGACGATTTTTTCAATGGAATTTTTAACAGAAGGGCATGTTTGATAATTTTTTCAAAGTACAGGGGCATATTTGATGTAAAAAATAGTAGAGGTGCATGTTTGATAAAACGTCATAGTAGAGGGGCATATTATACCTATAATCCTTCCAAAAACTAATGAGATTTATCCTTAAGTAGCAGTAAACCAAAAATAACACAAATCACAAGTTTGCCACTCCCTTCTTGGCCTAGTCGGCCCTCTCCCTCTAACCCGTGGTCGGGTTTCCCACATCCCCTCCTCCTTCAGAATCGACATCGTCCTTGAGGTCGAAGTCCGAAAATTTCTAACGAAGCATCTCTGACTCTTCCCAGGTGGCATCTTCTGGCTCCACGTGATTCCACTGCACCAAGCTCTCTTCCACCAACCGCCCTCCCTTCTTCGTCTAGCAGGTCTCCAACACCTTGAGAGGAACCAGCTCCAAGTCACCATCGGCTGTCACCGGAGGAGCCGTCGAAGTCACTCTGTGCGCCGGGCCCCGGTACCTTTTCAGCAAAGAAATGTGGAACACAGGGTGGATGCGTGAACCTGCGGGCAGCTGTAGCCGATAAGCAACAGGGTTGACCTTCTGAACGATCTCATACGGCCCAAAGAACCGAGCCGCAAGCTTCTGGTATGCCCAACGGAAGACCGAGGACTGCCGGTAGGGGGTGCAACATTAACAGTACCCACTCACCCACCTCAAACTCCTCATCCCGCCGCCCTGCATCTTCAGCCTGCTTCATCCGATTGTTTGCTGCAGCCTGCAACCAAATTTGTTCTTAACTGCTCCAGGGCCTCGTCTCGCGCGCCCAACCACCTATCCACCGCGTCCACCGAGCTCGATCCGCCTCTGTACTGCACCAACGTCGGGGGTGACCTCCCGTATAGAGCATCAAACGGGGTCATCTTGATGCCCCGATGATACTTGGTGTTATAGCAGAATTCCGCCCAAGGAAGCATGGCCAGACATTGCTTCGGCTGTTAGTAGGCGAAGCACCTCAAATACTGCTCTAGATGCTTGTTAACGATCTCCGTCTGCCCATCGGTCTGGGGGTGATAGGCCGAGCTCATGCGTAAACCGTTCGCGCCATCACAAAGACCTCCTGCCAAAAACTGCTCAAGAAAACCGGGTCACGATCACTAACGATAGACCTGAGAAATCCATGATGCCTCACCACTCCCAATACAAACTGCTTGGCCACAGACTTCGCGGTGTACGGATGCGCCAATGGCATGAAATGGGCGTACTTAGTGAGCCGATCCACTACCACGAACAACACCGTCTTCCCACCCGAGGGAGGTAATCCCACGATGAAATCCATGCTAATGTCCTCCCATACCCGCTCTGGCACCGGCATCGGTTGAAGGAGTCCAGCCGGACGCAGGTGAGACAGCTTCACCCTCTGGCACGTATCACACGACTCCACATAGGCCTTCACAGCCTGCGCCATCCGGGGCCAGTAAAAATGGCCTCTAATCCGACGGAGTGTCCTCTCGGCGCTTGAATGACCACCCAATGGATAGTCATGGAACTCCTGCAGTACTAAGGTGACCAAATTCGAACTGGGAGGAAGGACCACCCGACCCTTGGAGGGTCACCAACCCCTGTCGAAACAGATAATGCACCGGGTTGTCGCTCACTGCGATTTCCCGGCAATCCTGTAAATACTGGCTGGTCTCCATGGACGCCCGCAACTCATCCCAAAACTGCGGAACTGGCCCTGTTACTGCGGCAAGAACCTCGCTGCCCGGTCTCCTCGATAACCCATCAGCCACCACATTAGTAGGCCCGGGTCGGTAATGAATCTTGTAGTCGTACCCCAGCAGCTTCGACACCCACTTATGCTGATCTGGCGTAGACACTCTCTGCTCTAGGAGGTGCTTCAAGCTCTGATGGTCGGTGTAGATGTGAAATTTCTGCCCCAGGAGGTACAGCCGCCACGTCTGTACCGCAGTAATGATCGCATGCGTTTCCTTTTTGTACGTCGACCAAGCCTCCTTAGAAGGTGCCAGCGTCTTACTCATAAAGGCAATGGGATGGCGATCCTGGGATAACACCGCCCCGATTCCCCTGCCCGAAGCATCCGCCTCAATAACAAATGGCTTGGAAAAGTCCGGCATTGCTAGAGTCGGAGTGGTCGTCATTGCCTGTTTGAGCTGCTGAAAGGCGGCCTCCGCCGCTGGTGACCAGGCAAACCCGCCTTTCTTTAGTAGATCCGTCAGTGGTCGAGCGATCATGCTGTACCCCTGCACGAACTTCCGATAATAGCCGGTAATCCCCAAGAATCCCCGCAACTCAGTCACAGTCGCGAGAACCGGCCAGTCCACCATCGCCTGAATCTTGGACTGGTTCACCTTCACACTCTGTCGAGTCACCATGTGACCCAGATATTCCACCTCCTGTACCCCGAACTCACACTTGGAGGCCTTGATATAGTATTGATTCTTCCGCAATATCTCGAACACCGCCTGCAAATGACTCAAGTGATCTGCCCATGACGGGCTGTAAATCAGGATATCATTGAAGAAAACCAGAGTGTACCGACGCAGGAGAGGCTGAAAAATGTCGTTCATGGCTGCCTGGAAGGTAAAGGGCCCATTACACAACCCAAATGGCATCCCGAGGTACTCATAGTGCCCGTTATAAGTGCGAAATGTTGTTTTATGGACGTCCTCCTCCTGCATACGTATCTGGTGATACCCCTCCCTCATATCCAGCTTAGAGAAATAGCAGGACCCATGGAGCTCGTCGAGCATATCGTCCATTGTTTTAATGGGGAAACGATCCTTCTCTGTGGCCTCATTAAGTGCCCGATAATCAGTGCAAAAACGCCACGTTCCATCCTTATTCCTCACCAGTTAAACTGGCGACAAGATCAGGCCCGTGTCAGCATCTCGGAGGCCTGTCGCTCTATGTCCTCCTTCTGTGAATGTCCATACCTATACAGCCTCACATTCACCGCCTTGACTCCCTCCTTGAGCTGAATCTGGTGATCAACCAGTCGATAGGGAGGTAAGGCAGTGGGAGTGTCGAACAAATCCGAGTAGTGCCCGAGCAACTCCTGAAGCTCCGGATGGAGCACCTACCTCGCCCCCTCCTCGATCTGCCATCACAGAATGGCCAGCTTGGCCTCGCCTTCCGGACCGCAGTCCTTGAACGAGATGGACCCGACAGCAGTGGTGAGGCCCTGTAGAATCCACTCCTTATCCCTCCACTTGAAACGCATGGTCAACCGCTGCCAATCACTGGTCACGGGTCCCAGACTCTGCAGCCACGGGATCACCAGAATGATGTCGAATCCCTTGATGGGAAGCACATACAGATCAGTGGTTATTTGCAGACCTTGAATTTCCAAGGAGATACCTCGAAAAACCCATTCACATCGCAAGGGGGCACCATTCGCCACCTTCGCCACCATGGAATCGGCGGCAGTAGGCGCCTGCTGTATCTTGGTGAACTCCTCTCCCACGAAGTTCAAGGAAGCTCCGCTGTCGACCAGGGTGATGGCCACGCGCTCCTCGACTCACCCCCTGAAACGAAGAGTACCCGGAGAAGCCCATCCCGCCACCGAGTGCAGCGAGAGACTCGGCGCAGTCGCGCGGGGCGCGCTGGCTTCGATCGCGGCGGTCACCGCGGGCGCTGCTCGGGCCGCTCTTCTCGAGCTCGCGGCGCGACCTCGACCGGCATATGGGGGCGCGCGATGGGGGCGGCGAGAGGCACCGCCTCGGGGAGCTCGATCGCCGGGTCGTCGGGCAGACAACGGCGGCCGATGCGGTGGGCCCTGTCCCGCAATTCTGCCCACGACAGGTCCGAGAGTTGGGAAGAACTCATCGACGATCGCAGGCTCTGATACTAGATGTTAGACCAACTCCAATGCAAGACCCCAAATTTGGGGACCTTCATCCCCAAATTTGGGGATTGCCCCCATTTTTTACAATTTGGCTCCAATGCTACCAACCTCAAATTTGGGGATCTCCATTTTATCCATATTTGCATTTACTTAAATGTGTACTTATCGAAGCCTTAATATAATTCGTTAATGTTAATTTTGTATAGTTCGTCATTATTTTAAGATACAAATTTTCCGATAGAATTTTTTCAAATTTCGAGACCGAATTTTTTTGGCGAAAAAATTATGGACCTAATTTTGGTTTACACACAACACTTGAAAATGATAAAGCTAAAGGAGTTCACATAATAATTTAAATGATACAACTTAGAGGTTACACGCAACACTTGCTAGTGATAAAGCTTAAAAATAACACACAACACTTGAAATGATAAAGATGAAACACATAACATGTCAATAATCGCCCAGAATGGAACAGTAATTCCCGTAATCTCCTCCTCCACCTTCATCTCCTCCTCCACTCTCATCTCCTCCTCCGGTCTGACTTGCGTTGGATGAATAGTTAGGAACAGAGTTGGGATCATCTTGATCATATCCTAGAATCCGGTTTTGCTGAATTTTGTAATACCTCCTCTTTCTTGGTGTCAACTTCGACAAGTCCTTTTCAAGAAGATCAAGGTTGTCCCGAAATAGTGTTGTTTCCCTCTCTTTTTTCTCAACTTCCCACTGTTCTTGGTCACGCTTTGATTTTTTTTCTTGGAATTCCATCCTTTTTCACTCATACTCAGTCCTCGAAGCATGCCTCTCCTTCATCTCACTTCCATACTCCAGCAATTGAGCAGTGTAGCTCTCTGATGACTCAGCAACCCCCTTTCCTTTCTTCTTAGCCGCCTTCTGTTTGTCGCGTCCAGCAGGGCGAGATATGACGAAGGGTAGAGTCTCTTCGACGAAGGGTGGAGTTTCCCCGACGAAGGGGGGAGTTTCCCCGATGAAGGGGGGAGTTTCTTTGTCTCCTTCTGTGTCATTGAGGTCTGTCTGTGGTGTTGATTGATAACTTTGACTCATGGGAGAACCATCAGTACCTTGACTCAACCGGTTTTGATGTGAAGACGGCATTGCTATAATAGTATGGAATTTTTGGCATTTCTTCAAGATCCACCAGCAATGACCAAAATTCCAACCCTTCTCCCCGGTCTCACTTAAATATAGTTGTTCTGCCATATACTCCTATATGTATGAATGAATGAGATGGAAAAGGAGTTAGAAAATAGAACACACGTACTAATGAGCGAGTTAGAAAATAACAACAATAGTGACATAGAATTCATACCACATCTTGTTGATTCGTGCCACTTGGTTGATTCCTCTCTGCCCTTTGGATAGCTGAATTCCAACACTTACAGAATTTGGTGATTGTGCCCATTCGACCAGACATACTTTTGATGGTACGAGATGAGTTTCGATCGTTGACTCGATATTGTGCCGCCACTCTATCCCAGAACTTTCTAGTTCGTTGATTGACGCCCACAGCTCCATCTTCTGATATCATGACCCAAGAATTGCACAAGTTCTTATCTTCCTCCACTTTCCAATTCTCTCCTCTCTTGCTTGTCATTGTTTGGTTTTTAGGGAGAGAAATATGATAGAAAGGGTGATGAAGTTGATAGAAAATTTCAATTCAGTAAGAATGAGATGTAGAGAGTGGAGAGGATGTCTGAATATATAGAGAATTTACCGTTAGATGTTACCGTTGGTAGGTAAGGCTGTTAGGTAGCACGTGTTAGGTATGTCAATGGTAGGTAGCACATGTTCGAATATGACCGTTAGATGTTACCGTTTGAATCTGACCGTTAGATGTTATCGTTGCCCGTTGGTAGGTAAGGTTGTTAGGTAGCACGTGTTAGGTATTTCATTGGTAGGTAAGACAAGTTTGGATGCCCGTTCGGATATAAATACAAATCCCTCATTTGCTATCAATCAATACTTGTCTGAAACTTCCTCCAATTTCTAAATCAAACACATCTATCAACTTCTCCCCATTTCTAAAAAACACATATCTATCATGAGTTCCTCAGATTACTCATCGTCTGGAGGAGAAGAAGAGATGGAAGAGTTGGATCTGTTTCACTATCGTCGTTTGACTTTAATCGGACGAAGGATTGAGGAAGCTTCCTCCTTACGTCGTCGTTCAACAAGTCGCACCTACATTGATCGTGAAAGGGTCTCAGGTCATAACCGTCTTATGCAGGATTACTTCAATCCAAATCCAACATATGATGCCCGTGTATTCAGAAGGCGTTTTCGTATGCAGCCACGACTATTCAATCGCATAATGGGTGACGTTGTGAGGTATGATCCCTCTTTTGCTCGAAGGAGTGATGCCGTTGGTCACTTAGGTCTATCGCCAGAGCAAAAGCTTACTAGTGCACTGCGCATGCTAGCTTATGGCTCTCCAGCTGATCAACTTGATGAGTATGTGCGAATGGGCGAGAGCACTGTACTGGAAGTCTTCAGGAAGTTTTGCAGAGCCATTGTCGGGATGTACTCATCGACACACCTTCGTGCACCAACTCCTTGTGATCTAAGGATTTTGCTTCACAAAGCCTTACAACGCGGATTCCCTGGTATGATTGGGTCAATTGATTGCATGCACTGGGAGTGGAGGAATTGTCCTACTTCTTGGACTGGACAATACCTGGGGCACAACCGTAAACCAACAATCATTCTCGAGGCAGTGGCTTCGTACAACACCTGGATATGGCATGCTTTCTTCGGCCCGCCTGGGTCGAATAATGACATTAATGTTCTAGGGATGTCTCCAGTGTTTAACCGTATCCTCAACGGATCCGCTCCACGAGTACGATTTGAGGTAAACGGTCATACCTATGATCAATGTTATTATTTGGCTGATGGTATTTATCCTTCATGGTCAACTTTAGTGAAAACATTCAGCAATCCAAGCTCAAACAAAGAAGCCTTGTTTGCTCGATGTCAAGAAGCACATCGAAAAGACGTAGAGCGGGCCTTTGGAATTCTTCAAGCTAGATGGGCAATCGTTCGTGGCCCTGCGAGATCTTGGGATGTTGCCACAATTAATGATATAATGTTGACATGCATTATATTGCACAACATGATAATCGAGGATGAGCAAGTTGATTCTGACGATGAGATGGAAGATAGTCTTGATTATGAGGTCCACGACCAACAACCAACTAATGTCAACAGAGATATTCCAACTCTAACTGAGTACTTGGCTAGGAATAATAGGCTTCGTGCTGCACCAACACATCATGGGCTTCGTCAGGACTTGGTCGAGCATATTTGGAACTTGCATGGAAATAATTAGTTATTGTTGTTGCTTGGTATTGATGTTGGGATGCTTTGTAATTCAATTTAAAGTTGTAGTTGGTGACAATTTGATTTGTAATTCAAGACCGTATTTTCAATTCAATAATATATTTTCCATTCTTAGTTCGAATTATTTTTGTGTACACAACTTCTAGATAATAAGCATAATTTTAAATAAAATGAATTCAATTTAAGTCATCTTAGGAAATAAAATAAATTAACCAAACTATTAAACACAAATTAAATAGACAACCTTCACTTAATTAATACAAACATTAATTCACTAACCTTCACTTATTAATTATATAACCATCATTAATAAACACTTAATGAAAAATTAAAAAAAAAAGGGCGGGACGGGCGGTGCGTGGCGGTTGTTCCGCCGCATCACCAATCTGCTCCCCCATCAACCCCCATAAATGCCGACTCCTCCATTTCCAACTCCATATTTGGAGACCCAAATGGAGGCCACCCCCATTAATGCAGATTATTCCTTTTTTGCAGGTTGCATTGGAGAGCTTCCTCCCCCATTTATGGGGGCAGCATTGGAATCAGCCTTAGAAACAAGAACTCCAAATTGGGAATTTAGGGATTGAGAAGTGAAGAATTTAGGGATTTGGAAGATTGAGGAAGAACAAGAGAGAGAAGAGAGACTAGGGATTGGGGTTTTCTGATTATTATTGCTTAATTCCAAAAACTAATGAGATGTATCCTTAAGTAGCCGTAAACCGAAAATAACACAAATCACAGGTTTGCCACTCCTCTCTTGGCCGAGTCGGCCCTCTCCCTCTAACCCGTGGTCGGGTTTCCCACACATAAGATCTCCAGTTAGGATCCAGCTAGAAAAGAAAGAACTTTGAGGGAAGGAAAGTACGTATAATTGGAAGAAACGAACTGCATTGCAGCTAGCAGCAACCTCCTCCACACTGTAACTAGACCCGAACGATAAAATCTGGAACGATTAAAAGCAAGTCCCTGTCATTAAAATGGCAAACATATGTACGAGAGGATAATGTAATGCAGAGTTGGTTAGCTTTATCGCAGTTTTTGGATTAGTAACCATGATGGTGTTAGAAGCAGCAGCAGCTCTAGCAGTGGCAAGTTCTCCTGCAAACACAAACAGAAAGCAAGGCTCTGTAACTTTGGAATCTAAAACAAAACCAACTCATCAGAGAGAGCTTCTCGATGACCTTCTGGATTTGCTAGCTTGTGGAGGCCACTAGGTGCCACCATAATGGGAGATGAGATAGGGTAACCCAAAACGCTAGTACTCATGTCTATTCTGCTCACATCTACCAGAACTCTTGGACGAATCCTGAAGCCATTAGAGATAATGATTACAAAAAGTGCGTTTTTGTTGTTGTTCTTTGAAGCAATGCAACTGAAACTGAGTCAAAGTAGAGATAGTAACGTGATTCGCTGATAAGCTTCCTCGTTGGCTTTCAGCGTGTGTTCATCCTCGGCTCCCCCAGCATAGAAGTCGAAGTACATTTTGAGAAGGGCTCTTTTGGCCAATGCTTTGAATTCGTGAACATTGACTGGCTCACTTGCCATGGTAACCTTCCTGGAAACACATAAGCTCAGCAAGAACCATCAGCTGGATAACCCTATTATGAATTTGGAGATAAATTAAATGAAGGAACCGAAGCTATCAAATTTATTCAAGAGCTCCATTAATTAGTTAGATGCTTGAATTCAAGACCAAAAAGATCCAGACTTTTTAATAAAAGAAGGAAAATAAAATTCACCCCAGTAACCATGTCCAGAACCCAGTTCATCACTTCCAGAGTTGAAGACATAAAAATTCTTGACCCCCATTGCACAGTGAAAAGTAGCTAGATCAAATACCTGGAGCAAGGGAGGAATCAAGGCAAGTTGAGGTAAGGAGAGAAGACAACTCAATTGAAGGTATGGAGGGGAAGAGAAGATATGGACGATGAATTGAGAGGAACAGAATATTGAGTGACGTAAGTGAAGGATTCTCTGAAATCTTTGCACATTTTTTGTAGTGGTTTCACTGTTCCTTTACAAAATGTCAATATCATAAATTTTTTGCTTTCTGACGAAAATATGGTTAGCTATACAGTATACACAAATTACTGTTACAATTAGAGGGGAGGAGGAGATTGATAAGAAGTCCACGTCGTTCAAATCCAACATTTTAAAGTTAGGACAGTATTATGCTCTTGATAGGCGAAAAGCATGTTGTACAAAAAATTGAGAGAAAGCTTTCTTACACTTTCTTCATGGATGGCAGAAAATGTTGCATCAGTGCCATTTGTGTATGTAGTAGCAGCTAGTAGCTCGTTTGCAAGCATTATAATTTACAAGCAAGATTGTCAAACTGCTTATACTGATTTACCAAGGGATATAGTTCGATCAGGGTACCATACATTTAATGTCGGTTTAACAAAATCATTTCTAGAAATCATTATCATCAAATAAATTTTAGTATATATAAAATATATATGAAGACAATCTACATTCATTTAAATAAAGTACAAAAATCCAAAAAAATCAAATATTCATATTTAAATACGACATTTAAAGTTAACAATCAAACATTTTGAATCCAACAAATAACATTAACATATATCTTTGGAATTCATGAATAAATTACAATTTTGTTTGTTAATTAAATTCACTAAAACAACATCATTTTTTCCAGAGGTCAGAAATCAATCATGTCGGTCATACAGATGAAATTACAGCCAGTTTCATGATCTACGTCGGTTATACCATATTCAGCTGACCGACATTCCACTTGTAGGACTGATACCATGAATGAGCTGCCACATACCAATATCAGTTGCTAGCCGGTTTACCGATTTACTGGATAGCCGGTTACCTGTTACAAACCTGCTACCCAAAAGATTTTCTGCAGACTTTTCTGGATCATGTTTCTGCAGACTTTGTCTCCTCTTCAATGTTCACACAAGCATCGTCCAAAATTAAGCTAGCTAGAAAGAGGTATCGATCTAAGGGCTTGATTAGGTTCCCTCGGCGACGATGGCCTTGAGCAGGGCCTGGGTTGTGTGTCGGCTGAGAGATTGCATGATAATCTATATCTTGATTTCGAATACCAAAGTGTATTGAGGAAGGAGGTTGACACTGGTCAACCCAGCTGTGCTGCATCAATTGTTGGAGAAAGCTCTGCTTCAGTACAGAACGAGAAGAAGAAGAAGCTTGAAGAAGCAGAGCTAAACGGCAGCGTACAAAGGAAGAGTGACTGAAGTGTTAGCGTTTCAATAAGCCGTTTATGTTGATATTCAAGTTTTACTGTATAGCCATACGTGTCCCTTTGTAAATGGTTAGATTAGTTGTTAGTTAGAGTTAGCCGTTAGTAAACAGTAATTAGCTACTCTGTATATAAGCTATTCTGATTCAATGGAAAAGCTCATCGAGCAAATTCCCCAAATCTATTCATTTCTTCTTAAAGTCCATCACCAGAAGCGGCAATGACAAAGACGGAGACATCATCGGAATTGAAGAAGAAGGTGGAGAAGGTCGCGTTCTATCGATTATTCGTCTTCCCTGGTAGGGTGGACTCGACGTTGATGGTGGTTGAAACTTACAGCGGAATCGAGAACGGGACTTCACAACCATCAATGACGGGGGATCTAGGGTCACCGTCGGGAGGCCTTTATTTTTTTTTTGCTACTATCGTCGTCGTTCTATTCTTCCGATTTGTCTTTCACTCTTATGCTCTTACTTATAGGTGTCAGAACAGAACCCGACCCGAATAACCTGCTTGTTCAACCCGACCCATATTCCGAACGCAACCCAAACTTACTAAAAGTCAACGACCCGCAATCCGCCCGATCCGTAACCCGTTCGACTCATAACCCGATCAACCTGCAAGCGGACTAATCCGCAACCCGATTGGCCTACAACCCGATTGAACCCGAACCCAACTAACCCGCAACGTAATTGACCCAAACCCGACTAACTGGAACTAGCCCAATTGACCCGAATAATTACTATACATAAATAATATATATTCTTTCATTTCACAAAGTGATGTTCAAAATATAATATTTACTTGAAATGATGTATTTTTAATAATTTTCAAACATTAAAACATGAAGTTCACTTGAACATTAAGTTTATCTTACAAAGAATCAATTATGTGCAATATATTGAAAACTTAGAGTTCTGGACGGTTACAGGATTGTTGTTGCAAATTATGTACGAATGTATTGAAGTTGTGTCTACACCACTTCATTTGTTTTAAACTGAAAATGAGTGTTTATTTATGTGTTACGGAATTATGGTACACATTTTAATTTGTGGTTGTAATATGACTATTGAATAAAAATATTGAACTCACCATAACTATTAACTAATATATTTTATCAATTATGATCCATTGCTGATTTGTTATTTGGCTACCCACAAAGAATGACGATAACAATTACTAACTTGTTCTTTGGCCACTCACAAAGTATCCTGGAGTTTCCTTTTTACATATGGTATGAAAGAAAAGAACCAAGCCAAGTTTGAGAAAATGAGAACAAGCCTCCTGTAATGTTGACCACGGGGCTCCATACGGACTAGATAGTGTGACAACACCCTTTGTATTGTTATTGTAACAACACTAGCCTCCAACCAATAGGAATCTAGGATTGTGATGACTTTTTATTAGATGAGTTGACCTAGTGTAAAATCAAAGCAGGGGTATAATTGTCATTATGAAAAATATGTTTAAATAATAATTAAAAAAATTTATTCTCTGCCCAAATTTTTGGTCGCCGAAATTCGGCCACCGGTCGTCGGAATCTGGTCGCCGGTCACCGGAATATGCTTTTTTGTCGCGGGAATATGCATTTTTGTCATCGAATTATGCTCATCGTCGCCGGAATATGCTTACCGGCGTCGGAATATGCTTACCGGCATCGGAATCTAGTCACCAGGGCCTGAATATCCTTATCGGCGCCGGAATCCGGTCACTGACGGTCATCGGAGTTTGGTCAACGAACTTCGTTGACCGGTCAACGGCCAACGACCACCGGATGTTATTGTCTGCATTGTGAGATTTATGGTTTGGTTTCTCATATTTTTGTATGCCTTTTGTGGTTTGCTTTATCGTGTTTGTGCTTTGCATTAAGAAGTTTCTGGTTTGCTTTATCGTGTTTGTGGTTTGCATTGAGAAGTTTCTGGTTTGCTTTCAAAAAATTTGTGGTTTGCTTTGCGGGGTTTCTGATTTGTTTTAATAGATTTTTGGTCTGCATTAGGACGTTTCTGGTTTGCTTTCAAAAATTTTGTGGTTTGCATTGTGAGGTTTTGGGTTTATTTTAATATATTTGTGGTTTGCATTAGAAGGTTTCTGGTTTGTTTTTTTGTGGTTTACTTTTCCGTGTTTGTGGTTTGCATTAGGGTGTTTCTGGTGTGTTTTTCAAAATATTTATGGTTTGCTTTGTGAAATTTCTGGTTTGTTTTAGGAGACTTGTGGTTTGTTTTAGTAGGTTTCTAGTATACTTTTTTGTGGTTAGTTATATCGCATTTGTGGTTTGCATTAGGAGGTTTTTGGTGTGTTTTAGAAATAGTTGTGGTTTGCTTTGTGGTGTTTCTAGTATGTTTTAGGCGATTTGTAGTCTGGATTATGAGGTTTCTGGTGTGCTTTAGAAACATTTGTGGTGTGTTTTATGGTGTTTCTGATATGTTTCATGAGATTTATGGTTTACATTACAAAGTTTTTGTTGTGTTTTATAGTATGTTTTATTGGATTTATCAAAATGCCTCGGTCTCTCTTTCAGTGATACAGAAGCAGTCTCGTTGAATTAATTTTATTTCCCCCACAAATTAGTGAAACATAACACATGTTTTCCATCTCCTTCATCAACATCATCAACTCAATCACTGCAGTCTGCCATTATGAAATGGTGATACATTTACACCAGCACTAAAACCCGAAATCTGAAAAGGTAGAAACAGTGAATTTTTGTTAGATCTCTCATCCAATCAATTTGGGCCGAAACCCACTAACCTCAATCCAACAACCAAATGTTCTTAAGTGCCAGATTACTGAAGAATCCTACCTTAACAAGCAAAGTAGTGGCATCAAACATGTTTGGTGTATCAATCCCATTAAGATAAGCTTTGATCTCGGGGATCCCAGGTCCTGCTGCAGTTGGTGCAAAGAACACACACAACACAACAACAAAAGTTGTCAACACCAGATTGACTCCAGTCATAAACGCTAACCCTGTCAAATACCTGCAAACAAACAAAAAACAAAACCGATTCACAATAATAACCCACATGGGAAATATGGACAAGAAAGGAGAGAAGATAAGAAAGTTTGAACCTTTCTTCCTTGATCAAGTTGACAATAGCAATAATCTTGTACCCAACAATATTTTCCACAACAAGGTTAATGAGAGTGGCCTACTTGGATCGAGAGTGGGAGGTGCTCGAGAGCAGGGTTTTGGGAAGATGGAAACTACAGCAGCACGAAGAACACCACCACCGCCGCCGGCGATTGAGCAGTCGCCGAACAACCGCTTCCACTGAATCCTAATCATCCGGTAAATCCTCAACCTCGCCGCCGACATGCTCAAAACCACGCCCTTCCTCAGCTTTCTCAGCCTCTTCCCGATCCTCACCTTCAACTTGCAGAGCTTGGTCTGGCAAAACGACGCGCTCCGTCGCGAATCGTCGGGGCGTTGCATCATCTTGTAGATCAGGAACTGAGCCCGCTGTGAATCGCCGGTGGATAATTAACAACGGTGCATTAAATGGTGTGATGACGTGGGGCGGATTTGGGAGGCAGTGGTCGACCCTACCCTGGGTATAAATAGTCAAGTGGGTGGAGCTCATTTACTTTGATTGGAAGTTAGATCTAAAATCACTATTCAATTCTCTCTCTAAAATCGATAGGTCTAACTTGAGCGTTGGAGTGCTAATGAGCCCGAAAGAGGGGCTCGAGGACGCCTTTGTGTGCAAGGCGGAGGCGTGCGATAGGAGCGGGGCGAGTGAAAAGAGGGCGCCCGGTACTTGGCATAATCAACTACATATGTCTCATATAATTTGTAAGGAAAATATTAGATTATAGATCAAAGGTACAAACGAAGAAGGCTGGGGAAGATAAATGTTTCACTTCAGTTGTAGAAAGAAGCAATTGATGGTCTCCTTCTCTATTGCCTCTTTCTTGTTCCTACCTTTCTCTATTTGTACCACATTGACAAGAGGAGAAAAAGCCAAGACTTCACTTTAATATATATAAAGGTGAAGTTTGGTTACTATTGCCAAACTATTTACATTTTCATACTTCAAATTTAATTAAATCACAACTTAGTCACTATAATTTTTTAAATTTACAAATTGATCGAATGTTTAGATTTCACTTGAATCCATGAATCCAATCCACCAATCTATGAATCCAATCCATCATAACATAAAATATAAATTTAGTTTGTACCATGCAAGATGTTTTATCACTCAACTGTAGGAGAAGATTCGACCATTTTGGTCTTATATGAGATTTTTACTTCAAAAAATATGTATGTTATCCATTTGAAATAATAATTATCATTTTTTAAAAGAACATTATATTCGGTGACGTGACAACATATTTAGTAAAATATAATACGAGTTCATTAAGATAATGATCTGTTTGAAGTTTTTGTATGACATTCTATTAACTGTTGCCTAAATAATTGCATTTTGATATCACAAATTTGATTAAATTACAATTTAGTTTTTATAATGTTTATATTTTACATTTTGATATCCCAAATTTAATTTTAATGTAACATCATTGAACAATTATGTTTTGGTATCTTAATTTTATGAATTTTCGTATCTAAAATTTTTTAAATTTACATATTGGTCGAATATTTAGATTTCATTTGAATCCATGAATCCAATCCACCATAACATAAAAGTATAAATTCAGTTTGTACTATGCAAGATATTGTATCACTCAACTATAGGAGAAGATTCGACCATTTTGGTCATCCATGGGATTTATACTTCAAAAAAATATGTACGTTATCCATTTGAATTAATAATTACCATTTTTTAAAAGAACATTCTATTCGGTGACGTGACAACATATTTAGTAAATTATAATACGATTACATTAAGATATTGATATGTATGAAGTTTTTTATGACATTTTAATAGAACAATGTTTAAAAAAATTTGCAGTGATAAAAATAATGATTTAAAAGTTAATATGAGTATAAAAATTACCAAACCTTTCCATCATTTACTTCCTCTTCATTTCATTTTTCACTCACTTTCCATAACCCTTTCGTTATTTCTTTCTTTGCTTTATTCGTCTAACCCTAATTAGTATACTATTTTTATGTATTCTAATCACAAGTATGAATGGGTCCATACATGACTACCAACGGTCTAGAGAATTTGTAATTGAACCATGCACCACTAACTTTTCCAACTCAATGTCGAGTCCAATTAAAAATAAAAACATATGGTTATTACTTATTAGAAAGTCGTCATTTTCTACTATGAGATTTGAAGGTGTGAAATTTTAAGCGAGTTCTAGTTTGTATTCCTTTCGCTTCTCTTTAGAGTTTTTCTTTCTCACCTGAGCTAGAATTTTCAGCATTTATACATGGAATGTTAGGCTAGGTATCTGCACATTTCAAATAAATAGTTTTCAATTTTCTATAAGAAAAAGAAATATTTATCATCTTAAATATATCATCATAAAAGGAATTAAGCCTCAACTATGCAAATTACAGTTCGATACCAAAACTTAATATATCTTTAGATTTATAACATAAATTTATTTTTTTGTCATTTAAGTCCTCAAAATATTGATGGAAAATTACATTTTAGTACCTAATTTTTTTGTGTATTACATTTTGGTACCTAAACTTTTTAAGTCCTACAAATAAGTCTAATTTTTTAATGTAATTAAAACACCCTCGAATAAATGAGTATCCATACCCAACTCATACACATTTAGATTATGGAAGTAAATATTCATACCCTACTCAAACCCATCTACATACTTCCAAACCCATATATACGTCACCATTCACTTCCCATAATCGATGGGTCGACTTCGATTTAGGTAAATATTATTTATTAGCCTAAAATTTCAAAAAAAATTGAATTGAATGTTGACCTCCATTTATCTCTTCTCAGTCAATATCATATTGTCAAGTCAATATTACTAACAAAACTACTAATAAAAAATGAATTTTAGACTAATATTACTAATAGAACACCATAACTGACCACATAATACATGTTCATAGACTATCTCCGTCCCGCGACAATACGCGACATGACCATCTAGTACCTATATAAGAGTGGATGGCATTCCTCTTGAGAAATCATATCCTTAAGTGGTCTTCACCAAGGAAAGTATATTCATCTATATATATATATATGGTGCCTTCTACGGTACCCCAGGTGAAATTCGGGGTACCGCATACCTTGAGTATGAAAACGCTATCTATACCTCGAATTAGCAGGATTTTTGGGCATGATACTATACCCTAACCCTTAATGAGTGAACCCTAGGTCCTAATTATCTAAATCATAATCTATAAACCCTAAGATGGTGCATTGACTTTTTTGCCTATCTAAATCATAAACTATATATATATGGGGAGTTCTACGGTAGTCAGGGTGAAATCCGGGGTACCGCGCATACTTTGAGTAAGAAAATGTTATCCAGAACTTGAATTGACTGATGTTTCGGACATGATACTATACTCTAACCCTTAAATATCAAAATCTAGGTCTTAATTCTCTAAATCTTATCCCCCCAAGATCAATTTAATTAGAAACATTAATCGACGGTTATGATTCGTCCAAATATAGGGAAAAAATCAATGCACCATCTTAGGGATTATAGTTTATGATTTAGATAATTAGGACCTAGGGTTCACTCATTAAGGGTTAGGGTATAGTATCATGCCCAAAAATCCTGCTAATTCAAGGTCTAGATAGCATTTTCATACTCAAGATATGCGGTACCCCGGATTTCACCCGGGGTACCGTAGAAGGCACCATATATATATATATATAGAATTACACGAAAAGTCTTGACCGTGTAATACTTAAAATAACAAATTTCAAAGTGATTAAACCTTAGAATTAAGCACATTAATAGAGCCAAATAATAAAACACCCAATCTTTCAAAACTTATCGATTTAACTAGTACTGATTTAGGGAGTTGTGAGGTATGAATACACTTCCCCACAAGTAAACGTACTCCCAATCCTAAAATTTCAAATTTTGCAAACCAAATTTTGGTTTCAACCCTAAGTTCTAGACCAAAATAATTAGTGTTCGACCCACTAGGTTTTAAGGTCGATGGCGACTCCAAGAGATTTCCCGGGCGAGCCCAAATCGCTGAGGTAGGTTGCGAAGTGGCAACTCCGCTGGGGACACGTTGAGAGTCGAGCTACAATTACGATCGAATCCAAGGTTGATTTGAGGTACCCTCCTAAACTAGAAAGGGTTATAATAGGGTACAACTTGGGAGCCGATTTCCTAAGGATTCCTACCCAACATGTAGTGTGCCTAGAAGCCACCTAATTCGCAACTTATCTCAAAGCCTACCCGTAAACACGACATTATGCTGCCAAAAGACCTATGTTCACCTAAAGAGGTTTGTTTGTATTATTGAAGTGTATTTGTGATTTGTATGGTTAATATGTGTTTATGCCTTATTTGTTCGTATGTGAAGTCAATATCCCCCAAAAGATTTTAAAAATTATTAGAATAATTAAAACGTAAGTAGTAAAAAAAAAAACAAAACACTGTTCCTTACGACTTTTCCGGGTTACTGTTCACGGATTAGTTTTAAATTATTTTTTAATGATTTAAATACAATTTAATGGATTTTCTGCTACGACCACCCCTAGGGTATACCTCATGCGGCTAACCAAGTACCAACCATGTCATAAGCTCTAAATTTTCTTACGTGCTGCTTTGTTAATTATTCTAATAAACCTTCCAATTGATATTAGAAAGTAATAGTGGGTTTTACTGTGATTGACCACATGTTCACTTCTCCATAATAAGATTCAACTCTTGACATTTTTTTTTTTAATTTGGCCTCATGAGTCGTGAATGCGGCTTGCACTCTTTCTCTCGCTACTATTAGTTAATTTAGCCGTTGTTCTGATCTTTTAGATTATGCTGACAGTAAGTTGTACAAGTTATTTTCATAACTTGATGTTATTATTAGACCATACATTCTGAAAAATTTATATAACATCGTTCTATAATAATTAAAACTAAAAATATATTGCGTAAATATTATGGAAGGATATTTATTTCTTATGTATCAATTGAACCAAACATATTATCTTAGTCTTCTGTAATGATTAATATAATACGTAAAGCTTACGGAGGGATAGTCACTTTTATGTATAAAATAAACGAACAGATAATATAAGTCTTTCGTGATATGATTTTGAACACAATTTTCTCTATTATTTACTAAACTGTCGACTGTATCATAAATTTGCATTACGCAAAGACTGAGAAAGTCAATTATTTTTAATGATTGTAATCAAATGTGATACTTTTTTAACTTAATTCTTTCTGAGTCTTCCATGATATAATTTTGAACACAGTTTTCTCTATTATTAACTAAAATGTCGAAGGTATCATAAATTTGCATTACACAAAGGCTCAGAAAGTAAATTATTTTTAATGATATTGTAATCAAATGTG